GGTAAACTGTAGGCAGAGGGGGAGACGAGGACAACAAACGAGGGGCTGTGGCAGACTGTTTCGTCGGAGTTTCGATGACTCATCAGGAGGCTGAACCCTCAACAGTCTGCAGAATCCCCTATTAACCGATTACACTGTAAGTGATAATCCACCTTAACCCCGGTTGTGGTTAAGCATCAACAACTGCCCGACAACTGATACCCTGAGGTGGGCACCAACCACTGCCCTCAAGGTACCTATGACGAACTCACCCACACCAGATGGAAAACTCTACGGAAGCACAACCGGGGTTAAGGTGGATTATCACGTAGTGTGTGTTCAGTTATGGGATTCTGCAGACTGTTGAGGGTTCAGCCTCCTGATGAGTCAGCGAAACTCCCGCGAAACAGTTCGTCACAGCCCCTCGTTTGTTGTCCTCCTCTCCTTCTCTGCCAACGGTTTACCAGAAAGTTCTGCTTGACGATACACACACACACACACACACACACACACACACACACACACACACACACACATATGTATGGGCTATCCTAGCTGATTGTCTGTGTTGTTTAAATTTTCCCCACAACAGCCCCAATTCCACCCAGGTGAGTAGATTCAGAATCAAAGCAGCTTTTGCCCTATTGCAAACCCTGAGAGAACTTGAGTTGAGACAGCCCAACATTTAAGCAATTTTACAATTATACAGTTTTTTGGTTATTGTTGGGGTACCCCTTCCATTTGTTCTTGCAGTTCCCCTTTTACTGTGCCGCGGACGTACAAGGCTGCCCACGTTGCTTGTGGTTGAGCGGCAGCTGCCCACATCCCCGTGTGTCTTAAAGGCCCACTTGCACGTCATGAAAGGAGGCAGAGTAAAGGGGAAGGTATACTCCTGTTCATTTCACTTCAGATCTTCAGCTTATACTTTGTCTGTTCTCGTAATGATGCTCATTCATATGTTATTTGCTAGTAGCACATAAGGGGAGGTGTGTTTCCTTTGCCCATTGACGGAGCCACCAAAAACACTGACAAAAACAAGCGCATGCAGCTAAGAGAGAGTCTTGGAAGCAAGCTGTGTGAGCCATAACAGCAATGTGGACTGTCTGAGCAATCCGCAGATCTACAGCGGAAACCGGAAGGCTGAAGCAAACATGTCCAGTGGAGGGCAATCCGCACAAAACCAAAACACTCTAATTGGGCAGTAGGATCCTCAAGGACTGTCCACGGAGCAACTACTAATTAATGACAAAAGAAGTTAAAAAACCCATTTGTATAACAGTCAGACCTTTGCAATTTTGTATTTAGTGTCACAGTGCAGTATTATGTGCCGATGCGAACAAGAAAATGCATTTATCAGGTCCTGTGGAAGAGGTCATGGCAAGGAGTGGGCATTTGAGGGCGGTGGGCCGAGTGTTGTGAACATGGGTGGTCAAGGGGATGGCAGTTGAGGGAATAGGAGACGGACTCGGAAGGATATAACTCCTTTTCCCTACTTCCGTGTCCACCCAGACGAGTAGATCCAAATGTAGAACAAACTGGTCGGCGTTAGGGCCTCGCCACACCACTCTCGAAATTAGAAAAAGACAAAAATGTGGCGGGTGCTTCTGGTCATGTTCTAGGGAGAAGTTCGTTCTCATTTTGCACATCATTTCGAGAGTGGTGTGGCGATGCCCTTAGTTTCCTCTAGATGCAAACTGTCGCAAGAAGAAACCCTTCAAATTTCCACCCAGATTAGCAGATCCAGAATTGAAACAAACTGTTTGACCTTAGAATCTTCTACAGCTAACATTACGAAGCACACAAAAACCGTGATACTGCCATGTCAACACACTATTCTGTCTTTGCCGTCGTATTGTGTTTTCCTTATGCTTATGCAGAGCTGCTCCCCTTGTACTGTGTGCCGCGCTTACAAGGCTCGCCAAGTTGATTGTGGTTGAGTGCAAGCTGCCCACATCCCCGTGTGCCTTAACGGCCCACTCGTGCCCGACGAAAAGGAGGCAGCGTAACAGGGGAGGGACAGTCCTGTACAGTTTTCAGCATATTTTTTCGCTTTGTGTTGTCTGCTTTCTTCACGACGCTCATTCATATGCATTGAACATGGGCATCTGCGAAAACAAGCGACAGTTAGTCCCATAAACAAACCAAGAACATCAACACAGCGGGCGGGAGACGTTCTGCATGAGAGGAGGGAGGTAGGAGGGAGAGGAAGAAGAGGTAGTGGGGGGATAAAGAAGGGGCACAGGATAGATCGACTTTGTAGGGTGCTCATTCCCTACGGTTGCGAGCATCAGTTAGTCGCATAAACAAACCAAGAACATTAACACAGTGGGCGAAAGACGTTCTGCATGAGAGGAGGAAGGTAGGAGGGAGAGGAGGAAGAAGAGGTAGGTGGGGGGATAAAGAAGGGACAACAGAGGATAGATCGACTTTGTAGGGTGCTCATTCCCTACGGTTGCGAGCATGCCGGCAGAGCAGATCTCCGACTTGCACCGACAAGGCATCTGTAATGGCTGATCTTACCGTGTGAATGCGAGGACTACGATGGAGAAGAGGATGGTGGAGACGATAATGAAGTGGAGGAAGAAAGGAGGGAGGAGGTGTACGAAGAAGGGGAAGTAGGAGATGGAGAGGGTGATGTTGTGGAAGATGCTGCTGAAGGGGTGGTGGTGGTGGTGATTGGGGCTGAGGGTGTGTAGGGGGGGAAGCAGTGGGGACAGCAGCCGGCAACCGATTACTCCTGTGTGTGTTGCGACGTTCGCTGTACTTCTCCGTCGGACTTTCACTGATGCAGCAGGCGGTTGAACCCCGACAGATGTTTGTGTTGTAGATTTTCACCACAACAGCCCCTGTTCCACCCTGATGCGTAGATCCAATATTGATGCAGCTTTATCTCTATTGCAAACAATGAAGCACACTTGAGACGAGTCGTTCCAACAATGAGTGTGTGAGCCTGTGTGTAAATCCGCGTGTGTGTGGTGCCCGAGCGTGTGAGCCTGTGTAAATCAGGGGGTGGGGGGTGGAGGGGGGTGCCCGTATGTGTGTGCGAGTGAGTGAAAGCGTGTGTGTCCACCAAAGTGTGTTGTAGATTTCCACCACAACGGCCCCTGTTCCACCTAGATGAGTAGATCCAAAATCACAGCAGATGCAGACAATGAAGCACACTTGAGACCAGTGTCGAGCCAATCCAACATTGAATTGAAACAGTTTTACCTCTATAGCAAGTAACATGGAGCAGAATACATTCACATATATCCCTTTCTTGACTGTCTTAAATCATTTAGTTAAATGTCTTTACTTCGGATTTCCTTGGGCTACCCCTTTTTATTTGATTCTTGCAGCTCGCTTTTTACTGCGCCTCTCACGTATAAGGCTGGCCACCTTGATTGTGGTCTGGTGCCAGCTGCCCACATCCCCATGTGCCTTAACGGCCCACTTGAATGTTATGAAAGGAGGCAGAGTAAAGGGGGAGGTACATTAAAAAAAAAAAAAAAAAAAAAAAA